GATATTTAGAAAACAGGAATAACTGTGGTAATTCTAATTGACCTAAAACAGTAAACATTCACATTAATGTCAGACAGTGAGAAACTGAAGGTTTACAGTTTATGTAAACATCTGGGCTTACCTGTACGTTGCCTGGGCTGTTTTTGTGTTTTCAAGATAAAATGCCAACAAAATGACTTCAAATAATATAAAATGTTGAGTTTCAATAATATTTATTGACTGTGGGCAGCTTGACTTTTCACTTTGGCAGCTTTAATATTTTTCCTGTTTATTTACTTGGCATTCACAAACACAGATATCTTTAAAAAATGATCGTCCGAAAACAGATATCTATGTTTAGACTCCGAATTGTTTACAAATGGCAGGTGTTAGGGAAGTCGCTCTATCTGTTGTTTTCAGCTTAGCTTCCAAGCTTGACTGGCTGTCCAAGCTCCAGCTCCAGCAGAGTTTTAAACACACAGTTTTACAGTGAGAAAATCCAATTACATTCAGCACCTGGAAAGACAGGGAGAAGGGAGATGGACAGATGGGATCCTCTCTAAGAAACGAGAGGCAGAGAAAAAAAATCAATGGCAATCCAGCTCAGGTGGAACTAAGCTCAGCGATGCAGCGCCTCTCCTCGCTTCGCACCCATTCTGTGATGAAAGTGGATGTTTGTCTGGGTGTTCATTTTACAAGGATTCACTACATTAACTTCATGAACACTCAAAGATTTTTTAATCATCCCTTTTTTGTCTTTTACTCTTCCTTCCCTTTGTTCTTTCTAATGTTATCTCTCTCTCTCCTTCACTCAACTGCTTCTTTCCTGAGTATCAGCTGAACTGTCTGTTTCCCCCTGTTTTCCTCTGCCACATATGATTTTAAAGTATTTCTCCAATATATTAACAAAGCTCTTAACTTATGTATTTCTGGACGCATGCAACCATTGTATGATTTAACTGATGTGAATATCTGAGAATTTGTTAGGCCTCACAAGCAGTTCATCTGTAATAACTTTGTGGTTTTTAGTCATTTTATTCTTTGTTTTATTTATTAGAAATCGGAATATTGGATAAAGACAACCTTAGTCAAAACAAAAAGCAGTTTTCAAACTATGTAAAATTAAATAAAAAATCAAAAATCTAATGCTCACTTTAATTTTACAAACCCTGTTTGTTCCCAGTTTAATATAGTCACCAAATAAATACGTCCTGTGGGGCAAACTAAAGCATCAATTTAGAGTTGTTGACAATAGCAAACTTTCTGCAGGGAAAATGTGGAAATCCCTTTACTTTGAAAATGGATTATAAGTTCATTATTATCAATGCAGCATCTCCAAAACATTAGCAAAGCTTAGACTTAAAACTGACAGAGTAGATATGCATCCAGCCAATGAAATGAGATTTAAAAAACAAAATCCTTTGAGCTCAAAAGATGAAACAAGATTTTAGACATTTTGGGTGAAATAAAAAATAAATCCCCTTTTTCTGGGGGGAAAAGGAGATTTTCTGTTTTCACAAATGTCAAACTGTGTATTAGAGAATCTCAGTCCTATTCCAGTTTGATCTTTTTTTATTTTATTTTAGATTTTAAACAAAACATGACAAAATGCTTAAGTTTAGCACCAGTGGGAAGCTCTGCAGCTCTTGGTTATCAGCTGAAGTTTCATGTTCACCACAGCTTGTAAGAAATTTGGCCATTGCATTTTAAAACATTGCTTAGCATTGTTTTAAAGAAAAAATACTAAAGTTATTTTCATGCAACACATGCAGAACATTTTGATACAGTAAGAAAGTCAGCAAGTTGCAAATCATGTATTCCTTTACATCATTTGAATGTTTGTCAAAAATGTATAAAATCTAAGAAGAAAAGTTCTTTAATTCAAAAATCTAAACTGCTTCCTGTACTGGGAGGACTGTTTTTTTTTTCTCTAAATACATTTTGTTTCATTGTTCTGAAGGCAAAAACGTCTTAGAGTTGTAAAGACAACCGCCTATATTTAATTTTTCTACAGCTGTAGTCAAGCAGCTGTGGGTCTCGTTGTTTTTCCAAATCTATCCAGCCTTCTGGGTCCAAACATCTGTCCCAGCAGAAAAAACTCCTGGAGATGAAGAAAGGGAACCAATTTCATGAGTTGCTGCCATTTTATAGTAACTGAAGGTCACCAATCACTGCTGTACATCGACATCAACAATCAACACCAGCTCAGCCAGAGTACATGAGACAGTAATACATCACACTGAGTATCTGTTTGACTGTCACCATGCAGATTGAAATCTGGAGTTACCTCAGTGAGCCCTGAGCCAGTGACTCACATGGCTGCTGCTCCATTAGTGACTTCCATGGTCCTTTTTACTGATTACTTTGCAAACAGTTGATAAGACTGTTTGGTTATCAGCTGAAGTCTGAATGTGATTGTTGCGTCCAATCATGTTCAGACAGAAAGAACTCTGTATGTGAGATGAAGCATCTTCAAAAAACCAGACAAGTCCAGCTGCCTTCTGCTTTACACTTAGCATTGTGGAGCGGATGACTGACACTACACACCAGCGTGTTCCAGGCAGCTACATGTATTTTATACCTAAAATCTTAGATTTTTCCACCAGAGATTCAAAAGAAAGAAAAGCATCAACATATTTCCTAAAACCTTTGTTAGCTCAGTAGACAACTTCTCTGTTTGCCACTTGCTGATCATTTCCACCCACACAATCTTACAATTGAAATTTTTTTTCTAAAATTATTCACCTGTACAGAATAAGGGCTTTCTTTCTTTTCATGCAAATGCTGAAATATGTCCACAGAGCCGTTGGGTCACAAAGAGCCCAGAGTGGGCCTCAAACAAATAGACATCTGAAGATGTTTTCCCTCAAGGACAGGCAGTTTGATAGAGCTCAGTCCTGAGTGATGAGCAGGATACTTTCATTTGTCCAAACCTGTAATTATTGTCCTTCATGCTTAAGAGGTCCTTCACTGATTTATTTTCTTCTTACAGAAATGCTAATACTGACATTTTGTATCGATGTGTATGGTTGTTTTGATGTGATAACAGAGTACACGTCATTTTGTGCATGCAGCTAATTGGAAAATTAATTTTTTTGCCTTGGCCAAGTAAATACGATGCCTATAAGGACTAATGATTATTTTAATCATCAATTATTCTGAGTGTTAATTGGATAAAAAAAAAGTCACATTCTGCAGATTTTTCTTTAACCACTGGGTTAACGGACAAAGAAGTTTTTTTTTTCTCCTAAATGTAAAATGTGTACATTTTTTGTAGTTTTTGCTTCATATCTCAGTATGTTGTTCTTTCAGCAAATGACCTTATTTTCAGTCTGTATTCTCCAACTAATGATTCATTGATTACTAAATTTGTTTTTCAATAATCGATTCATCACAATTAATTCAAATAATTGTTTCAGCCCAAATGCTTATTAAGCATAACCGGCTCAGTACTCTTGTTGTATTGTGTTCTTCACACAGCGCCGTCACGCTGCCATAGAGGACCAAGTGGCTGTGGTGGCATAGCAAAAACAAATAAATAAAACAAGCGGTTAAAAATCATTAAAATTAATCAGAATAATTAGTAATTAATTCCTTGAGGACCGACTTTGGGCACTCCTGTGTTAAACTATAAGTCATGTTTGATATATTTAGGGGTTTTTTTATAACTAAAGATAACACAGTGACTTGATTGTGCTAAAGAACAGTACAATGTGCCTAGAAATACATAATACTTCCTGTTTAAATAAAAATGTGTGAAGCATGTTGGTAGATAAAAGCAATACAAAGGTGACAGAAAAAGATGCACTTCCTCCTGCCTTCCTATTTTTAGATACCATCAACATTGTCTTGTAATCCTCCTGGTTCTATTGAAAGAGGAAAGTTGATGACCATTGTAGCGATTTTAATAGTCACCTTCTTTAAATAAAACATTTGGTTCAGGTAATTAGCTAATCAGCCTCAGTAAGTAGAATAGGTTCTGCTTTTATTAAAATTCAACTAAAACTGAAATAGACGTCATACACTGAGATCATGATGTGATCTCTTCATTTTTCCAGACCTCAGTAGATCAATAAGAAACATCAGCAGGGCTGATAGGTGAGTTTTATTTATGGTATGCAGCTCTCACAATGAGCTAACAATTTATATGCTTTGATAGCCCGTTTATAACCCATTAGTGATATAACCAAATCTGCTAACTGATTTAGTAGCTTGTTCATATGAACCTCTAATGATATTTTTTCTTTGCAATTGTAATTTAAATTCTTGCCAGAAAAAAACAGAAAGGAAAAAAGTAGGCATGAAAGCTGAGATGAAGGCATGGCGAGCTCCTGTTGTGTGAAAGATGAAGTGAGGTGTAGATTAGCAACACAAAGGCCTTTAATGGGAATGAAACTCAGGTGTCTTTGATCTTGGCTAAAGCTCTTTTGTTTAAAACCTTCAGTTCTCCCTGGCCATTCATGCTGGCCCTGTGAAGTATAGAACAGAGTGCTTGATTTGGCCTGCTCTTTAGCACTGCGTGTCTAAGGCTAATGGCTCTGAGCTAGCTGGGAGGGGTGAGCGGGGGTGCTAATCCACAGGTGTGTGCTCAGAGTGAGGCCCTATATGTCTGAATACAGCCAAGATGTTCAGACTCATTTTAGCTTCCTTTCAACACACCAAAGCAGTGTTTGGTTGGGATAAGGCTCTGTTACCATAGTAACAATGAAGAATTCACCCCCCCAGTTTGGTTTAATTGTGATTGCTTATGTATTTTCCGTCAGGATCTTTGGTTCATATTCTGTCAATTACTCACACAGCATCACCAAATACACATACAACCCCCCCCCCGCAAAGATGATTATTTATGTTTAAAGATCAAAATTTGACCTCATCAACAAAACTCCTCAATACAACAGTATTGAGGAGTTTTGTTGATGAGGTCAAATTACCTCTAAAGTGACTGAGATTAGTTTAGACTAATTGAGAAAATGCAAAATCTTCATTTGTATCTTGTCTAATGATTCCATTTTGCTCTTCAGACCACCGGTTTCCTGTCAGAGGCCCAATTCTCTGCAGAGTCGCCAGAAACACTCGACCCATTGTTCAAGTTCCACGAAACCATTGCAAAGGTAGGGCTGCTGAGTCTGTCTAATCACTCAAACATCTTTAATTGAATATCTGGTAATTGTAATACTCAGGTAGAGTAAAAGTGTCTTTCTTGGTCATTTAACTGGGAGAAACAAATGCAATAATGTGACTTCATTGAGAAGGAATCCTTAAAATGTGAATTTTACACCCTTTATCCCCAACACAGGCCCTGTACCACAGCATCCCACATGACACACACATTCACACACATGCATTGTGAAATAAGAAACAGTTTGACTTCAACATTAAGAACACATTACTTTGAGTTGCACTTTTAAACGCCAGAAGCTCTGATTTCATTTATTTTTTTTAAAGAGACAGCGGCAAACTTCCAGCAGCAGGGACTGTAGAAGAGCTGGCCCTTTAAGTTAGTGTTTTTTCAAAGTGGGGGCTGCCAGAGTCACAGTGAGGGCCTCAGAAAAATGGAGGGAAGATGACCGGGGGGGGGGGGGGCAAAAAAAAAAAGGCCCCAAAAATTTTTTATTTTTCC